TCTATCTATCTATCTATCTCCATCCATCTCTGTTTCTCTCATCTATCATCTATCATCTCTCTATCATCTCTCTCTCTATCATCTATCTATCTATCTATCTATCTATCTATCTATCCATCCATCCATCTCTCTCTCATCTCTCTCTCATCTATCATCTCTCTATCATCTCTCTCTCTCTTATCTATCATCTATCATCTCTCTCTCTCTCTATCATCTCTCTATCTCTCTATCTCTCTATCTATCTCTCTCTCTCTCTATCTATCTATCTATCTATCCATCTAATCTTGTCTTTCTCTTCTATCATCTCTTTCTCTCCCCTATCTACTTTTCATCTCTTTCTATTGGTTGGGTCTGTCTCTCTTTATCTCATCCAATTTATATAGCTGCCCATCTCGCAAATATTCCAGGAAGTAAGATCAATAATTAGACAGAAAGCGTTTCCTGAATTGAGGTAATTTCTTTGAGGGAGAGAATGCTAAATTGATTATTCAAGGTCTTATTCCATTTTTATTTCTCACTGCTAAGAGAGCTTTACTAAATGAACAACGGAAACGTAAAAAACAGTTTACAATTGAAAAAAGTAAGGACTGTGACTGGCTGTGGAAAAGAGTGAGAGATAGAATTTAAAATTTAACGACAGAGAAGCCAAATCACAAGTTTATTGATTCTGGAATGATGACAAATTATTCATTCCGACCTTGTTTTAATTTTGTTTTTAATCTCTGTTTTTTTTTTTTACTCTTTCATACTATTGTATTTTTTAGGGCAAACCACCCAGAATCTCCTAAGTGACACGGACAGTATAGAAATTTGATCCTTACATAGGTAAATAAATATAGCCATAAAATGCAACAAATGTGTTTTCTGATTATCTCAAGTACTGCAAAGTATTTTCAAATATTGTAGTGAAAAATGAAATTAAAAAGATTAGATTAGATTATTAAACTCAGGTCACAACCTTTGCAATTTACACCGCTCTCAGCCAAGGAAGGTGTTAACAAATGTGTTTTCTCAACATTTCGAGTACTGCAAATCGGTAATGTTACAATGAAATGAAAAATAAATAAATAAATATGACATTCAATTAAATTCAGGTCACAACATCTGCCATCCTTTACCCCATTCTGAGCCAAAGAAGGTGTAACAAAAAAAAAGTTTTCTGAATATTTCGAATATTGTTAAGTTGGTAAACTTACAATGAAATGAAATGAAACATTAAATGGTATTATTGAATTAAAATTACAACTTTTACCACCCCAGACACCCTCCTTAGCCAGCAAAGTTGGAAAAAACAAAGGGCAGATTTGGCCACCCCCATGAGGAATAGCTAATGGGGTCTGGGGTCTCCTATGAAGTGGTCTGACCTTGGCTTCGCCCAAAAGCACTAAGCCGACTCTTTCTCCTGGTAAAACCCCTTTTATTAAACAAAGGTGAATTTCTTGCATTCACCTTCAGCCAAAGGCCCAGCCAATGGTCTTTCAAGGGTGTAATTAGGAGCACAGACCTCATCTAGCTTGGAGAGCTGCCAAGTAAATATTTCCAAACGCAGTGCTGACAAGGAAGGACTCAGCACAGAGTCTCTGAGATGCACAGACAGAGCTTCACACTGCTGCAACAAACGAATTGTTTCCTGCCAAAAGCCCCCTCCCCCTTTTACTCCTCTTTTAATCCCTGTGGGAAGGACCATTCACCATCCACCTGAGCCTTTACTCCTGAGTCGACCCTTGTTCTTTAATTGTTCCCTTCCTCTGGCAGCTCTGTGCATGCGCACACTGGGAACAGGCTCCAGCTATTCTTCAGCCCCACTGATCTTCGACTCCAAAGGCAGCTGATAACTGTCGGACGGCTCTGGCCCCGTCTCTGCCTCCGACACAGAGCCCTCGTCAGGACCTTCCCCAGACTCCAGGACTGGCCCAGGTTCCTCCTCAACCTCCTCACTGTCTAGCTCTGCTGGGCCGCCGGCAGGCCACAACTTCATGCCGGGAAGTCACAGCGTAGACTTTGGCCCAAGAGATCTCACTCACCTGACAGAAGAGCTGATTGTTGTCCTCTGAGACCAAGAGAAGACAGCAACATTGAGACTGGGTCTCCTGCTTCAGCTGGAGGAGAAGGAGAAGAAGAAGAAGAAACATGGAGAGTCTTGGACAAGACCAGCATAGGGTGGAGATGAACAAAGATGATCAAGGTTCTTGAGGTTGAAACATCTGACGAACATTTGAGGGAACTGGGAATATCAACTTTGATGAAGAGAAGGACTAGGAGTGACATAATAGCAGTCTTCCAATATTTGAAGGACTGTCATAGAGGAGGTTGACTTATTCTCCAACGCAGTAACCGTGTAAAAGAGTTGGAAGGGACCTTGGAGGTCATCTAGAATCTAGACCAACCCTCTACTCAACCAGGAGACCATCCACCATTCCAGACAACTAGCTGTCCAATCTCTTTTTTAAAACCTCCAGTATTGGAGCATTCACACCTTCTGGAGGCAAGCTATTCCACCGATTAATTTTTCTCACTAATTTCTGCTTAGTTCTCAGTTGTTTTTTCTTGATGAGTTTCCATCTGGCTTTGGGAAAACGGGTGGAAGATCATTTAAAGAGAGACCCCGTCTAAAACCAAGGAGAAATTTCCTGACAGGAACAAACATTTCACCAGTGGAACGACTTGCCTTCAGAAGCCGTGGATGCTCCATTACTGGAGGTTTTCAGGAAAAAACTGGACACCCGCTATGGCCAATATGGTCGTCCCAAAGGTGCTTTTTAAAGAGGCAACTGGACCTTCTTGCTTTTTTCTTTGAAGACGAAAAAGACGAGACGCGAAACGTCTTCAAAGAAAAACCAGAAGGTCCAGTTGCCTCTTGAAAAATCACCTTTGAGACAACCAGGACCTGGATGGCGGAGAACCTCCATAGACTTTTGACCGATATGGGTAGTTTCCTGTATTGAACAGGGTGGCTAGACTAGAAGACCTCTAAGGTCACTTTCCAGCCCTAAGATTCTACGTCGTGTGGACTTGAAACAGAAAGGGAAGAATTTGACCTCCTCTCTTATGGAGGTCAGGAGACGCGGTGGCTCGGTGGCTAAGACGCTGAGCTTGTTGATCAGAAAAGGTCGGCAGTTTGGCGGTTCGAATCCCCAGCGCCGCGTCATGGAAAGAGCTCCGGTTCCTTGTCCCAGCAGCTCCTGCCAACCTGGCAGTTCGAAAGCACGTTAAAAAAAAAATGCAAGTAGAAAAATAGGGACCCCTTTGGTGGGAAGAGAACAGCGTCCCGCGTGTCTTCGAAGGTGTTTAGTTACGCCAGTCACATGACCACGGAGACGTCTTTGGACGGCGCTGGCTCTTCCTTGGCTTTGTGATGGAGATGAGCACCGGCCCGTAGAGCCAGAAACAACGAGCACATATGTGCAAGGAGGGGAATATTTTGCCTTTATGGAGGTCAAAGTTTACTTAGAAACCAGACTAAACTAAAATTTTTCAACCTTGGCCACCTTGAAGGTGAGGGTCAACTCAAAAAAACATTCCTACGCCTATTTTAGTAGTTGCCATAAAAAAAAAGGGTGGGAGGAGGAAGGAAATCTGGAAGACCAGTGCAGCAAAGCAAAAGTACATTCCAACTCTTAACTTTAAAATATTGTAACTCAACTACCGGAGTTTTTGCCCGTGAATACATTCAATTGGAGAAGGTGATTGATGACACCCAGCCTGTGAAGGGGCTCAGTTGGAGAACCTGCTTTATGACACACCCAGGGGGGAAACAGGGTCACAGGGGACTGTAAATGATGTAGGCCAGAGTGGGCTTCACGCAGGGCAGGGCCAGAATGTCGCCTCTAATGAAGCCTTGGAAGCTTTTTGAAGTTTGGCTCGAGGATCATGATTTAATGAGGGCGATCGCTGGAACCCTGACGGTGGGTGGACTTCAACTCCCAGAATTCCCCAGCGGTGGGAAAGGCCTGGAGGCCCCTTCTTAATGGAAGGAAATGCGAATTACTCACGTAATTAATGACTTTGAGCTGGAGGGAGGCTGCATCCAGATCGTACAGTTCCCCTGAAAGGCAACAGATGCAGATTTTTACGGGTTGAGTAATTGGGATGACAACATTGGCACGGTCGACGCACAACGCCAGGTGGCATGCGTCGCGCCACAAACGGTGGCACGGCCGTGTAAAACCAGGAATAAAACATTCAGCCATGTCGACACCTGATAAAAACAAGACAGTTTCCTTCTATTCCGGTGGTCACCAACCCGTGGGCCAGGGACCACTAGTGATCTGTGAGAAAATGTTGGTGGTCCGCAGAGAAATGTAGCCCCCCCCAAAGCAATTAATCCAGGCTGCATGGGAACACAAGGCTGCGCCGCCCACAAGGCTGATGGGAACACAAGGTTTGTGTCGCTTGCATTGTGAACAACACAAGGGAGTGAGGGGAGGGGGGAAAGGGCTGAGGGGGAGAACTTGCCCCACTCGCCTCATGTGCCTGGCCTGGCCATCGGGCGGCTTCTTTCCGCTTCTTTCTTCTTCTGCTTTTGGCTGCACGCAAGGAAAGCAGCCAAAGTTTTTCTTTCTCTCCCCCAAACTCTGCCAGAAATGAGTCTTGGGGACCCTGCAAGGCCTCCTGCTCCCAAGAGGCTCATTTCTGGTGGAGTTTGGGGGGGAGAGAAAGAAAGACTTCTGCAGCTTCTGCTGTTTTCCTTGCATGAAGCCAAAAGTCTTTCTCTGTCTCTCTCTCTCTCCCCCTGAGAACGGAGCTGGAGACGGGATCCTGCCATCCCAAGATCAATCAATCGGTAGGAAAACGGGGTGGGGGATTTTCCTGAAGACTTTTGGGGGGATTTTCCCAGGGTCTCTGGTCCGCGGGATTTAAAAGGATGAGTTTGGTGGTCCCTGAGGTCCAAAAGGTGGAAGACCCCTGATCTATATGACGGACTAAATTTCACAACGCAGCAAATACAGATAGAGGTGACCCGGGACTTAGCACCACCATCCAGCCCCAAATTTCTGTTTTTTATGGGCACACGATTGCCTCATTTCATAACCTTTCTCGCCACCGCCATTAAGCGCATCGCTGCAGTTCTTAAAGCCAGTAACATGGCCGTTAAGTGGAACTGGCTTTTCCCATTGATGTTGCCGGTTGGAAGGCCGCCGAAGCGGATCCTGAGATCCTGGGATGCGGTGACCATCACAAATACAAGTCAGTTTCCATGCCAGTCGCCAAGAATCCAAATGTTGGTCGTGTGGCCAGGTGTGTGTGTTTGTGGTGGTGATGGTGGAGGAAATGCTGCAATGGTCGTAAGTGCAAAAAAACGGTCATCGGTTGCTTTTTTTCAATGCCGTTGTGACTTCGAACAGCCGCTAAAGGAATGGTCGAAAGTCGAGGATTTCCTGCATTATAACCGGTGAAGTTTGCTTCGTTCCTTTAATCAGGTCTGGGGAACTACGGCTTCTTTATAGCCTGTGGACTTCAACTCCCAGAATTCCTGGGTCTGACTGAGGACTACCCAGGGGTGGACTTCAAATTTTTTTTAGCAAGGGGCTCTCTGCCCTCTCTGGGTGGGCGTGGCCAGGTGGTCATGTGACTGGGTAGGTGCGACCAACTCAATGTCGCTTCTTGGCCCTAATTACCTAAGAAAAATGATAATATACCGAAAACTTGTTGTATTATTTTGTGCCTTTAATACTTAAAAGAAAAGACTGGGTGAAACCAGGCTTATTGGCAGTGACTGTGAGGGTGATCTTGGAGTTTCTGGTGAGTTATGTGATTCTTATTATTTGAGAATTAATCCCCTCGGAGGCTATATTATCTGATTTTCTCCATAGCTCTCCCTCACGAGCGCCAAGTGGATCGTTCATCTAGCTTGCCACGCTGTTACCAAGTGTGAAGTGCTCTTGTCGGAACACCCAGAAGTTCAAGAATGCCTATGAAGAGCTTTCCCTGAGGTTATTGGGGGGCTCCCCCGAGCCCCTGCGAGCCCCCAGCAGCCCATCCCCCGAGACTACCTGTATACAAAGTTGGTTCGTGAGGGGTCCCTCCTGCCCTTTGACCTCTGTCCTTACCGCACAACTGCAAGATCTTGCTGTCCAGCTCGCTGTAGCTGCTCCTTGGAGCCTCCACGGGTTTGGCCTGGCGTGGTTGCAACTTCTGAAGGCTTTGGAGACGCTTGTAGGAAACCAGAATCTGAAAGAAACCACATTCACAAATGAAGAAGTCCCTCCTGTTTTAAAACAACCTGGTTTCGCTTTTTTTTAAAAAAAGGGGGGTTAAGTCACTCATCGGGAAATGGGGAAGTCCCCCTTGGCTACATCCACACAACGCTGGGGACCTCATTCACCCCCTGGTCTGGGTTTCCACAGGGTTGGGTTTGCCTGGCCGCTCCAACCTAGCTCCAGAATCAGAGTAGAGCTTGGAGGGACCTTTGAGGTCATCTAGTCCAGCCCCTTGCTCAAGCAGGAGAGCCTACGCCATTTCAGACAAACAGCCCTCCAAATCTCTTCTTAAAAAAACCTTCAGGGATTGGAAACATTTGCAACGTCCGGAGACAATGAATTGTTCTCCACTGTCGGCAAGTTTTCTCCTTAGTTCTAAGGTTGCTTCTCTCCTTGATGAGTTTCCATCGGTTGCTTCTTGTCTTTCCTTCAAGCGCTTTGCCAAATACGTTGACCCCCTCTTTCTTCTTTGGGGCATCCCCTCAAATATTTTCTTAGTTTCTTCCCCAAACCCCCAAAACTTTAACCTTAGACTGTCTACTATTGACCTCACCCCTTTCCTAAGAGGTCTGTGGGGGCCTGCATAAGCGCACCAACGTGCCTACCGTCCCTGTCCTATTGTTTCTTTTATTTTTCTTTTATTTTTCTTATATGTACTCATTTCATGTATTCATAATTATGTATACACTTTTACTTATTATCTCGTAAACAATTGACAAATAAATAAAATAAAAAAATAAATATTGGAAGACTGTTATCCATGTCACCCCTGGTCCTTCTTTTCTCAAGACCGGCCGTTCCCAAATCCTGCAACTGTTCTTCGTATGTTTTAGTCTCTATCCTTCTCCGATCCGGGCCCATCAATAACCAATATAATACTTGAAGGTGAAGGACCCACATCCCCGTAGTTCTTGGATGCTTTCTTTATTTACCCATCGTTCAAACGAGACAATGGGAAACGAAAATGGAAACGAACGGAGCAGGATGCCTCCTCGCCCAGAGAAGCAGGGATTAATCCCAGACAAACACGCCAAGGGAAAACAATGCCCTAATCAAGGAAACTACAGAGGCGGCGAAGGATCAAGCAGACAAACAATTAAGCAGGAAACAATGGCCTAATCAAAGCACGATTAAAGGAGAAAAACCGCACTCCCTCCAGACGCTAGCAGGGCAAGGGACTAGGATATAAACAGAGAGCCAAACCTCACCGCTCTCTATATTCCTGCAACCACTTCTTCATATGTTTTAGTCTCCGGGCCTTTAATCATCCTACTTGCTCTTCTTTGTACTTTTTTCCAAAGTCTCAACATCCTTTTTTTGTAATGTGACCAAAATTGGTTGAGGTATGTATTCCAGGTTGTGGCCTTGCTAAGGTTTTAGAAAGAAGTACTAACATTTCACGTGGTTTCGATTCAGTGCCTGTGTTGATACAACAATCCAGGTTGGGCTGTTGTACAAACCTCCGCTCCAGTGTTTTACCAATCCTGGTTTAAAGCCTCCTGTGTAAATACAACGGGCGTGGACACTTGATTACAGATATAGATCGTCAGAGTTGGAAGGGACCTTGTAGGTCATCTAGTCCAACCCCCCGACCAAGCAGGAAACCCTACACCTACACCACAAATGGCAGTCCGGTCTCTTCTTGAAAGCCTCCAGGGATGAAGCTCCCACAACTTCTGAAGGCAACTTCTGTTCCATGGGTTGATTGTTCTCCCTGTCAGAAAATATCTCCTTATTTCCAGGTTGAATCTCTCCTTGTTCAGTTTCCATCCATTATTATTCCTTGTCTGGCCTTCGGGTGCCTTGGAGAATAGCTTGACCCCCTTCCTCCTCCTCTCTGGAGCAGCCCCTCCCTCAAATACTGGAAGATGCTCTCCTGTCTCCCCTGGTCCTTCTCTTCCCTAGACCAGCCAAGCCCAGTTCCTGCAACTCTCATATGTTTTAGCCTCCAGTCCCCTAATCATCCTGGTTGCTCTTCTCTGCACTCTTTCTAGAGTCTCACCATCTTTTTTATAATGTTGTGACCAAAACTGGGTGCAGTACTCTAGGTGTGGTCTTACTAAGGCTTTACAGAGTGATATTAGTACCTCCCTTGATCTCGATTGTATCCCTCTGTTAATGCAACTTAGGATTGCATTAGCTTTTTGGGCTGCTGCTGCACAACATTGGCTCCTATTTAGCTGGTTGTCCACCAAGACTCCAAGATCCCCCTCCCAGTTCCTGCTATTGAGCCTGGTTTCACCCAGTCTATACGTGTCCTTTGGGTTTGATGTGTATAGAAACAAGCTCTCAAAAGTTAGAAATGATCCAGTTACAGGTGGTCCCTGATTTATGATTGGTATTGAGCCCCAGATGTTAAGCAGGACAGTCGCAAAGTGAGTTTGTTGCTCCGTTTCACAACCTTCCTTGTCACCATCGTTAAGCGAATCGCTGCAATCGTTCAGTTAGTAACATGGTCTTTAAGTGAATCTGGCTTCTCCCTTGACTCTGGGGGTTCAGAAGGTTGCAAAATGACATGACACCCCCCCCCCTTCATATATATGAGTCAGTTGCCACTTAACTTTTTTTGGGGTGGCTGGGCTTGGCGATGGGATTTTGGCCTCCGTTGTGGTTGTGGGTCGAGATTTTCCTATCGTTCCTTTTTTGTGGGGGGTGTCAGGAGGCAGAAGGAAGGGGAGGGAAGAGATTCCCCTAGGGGTGGGATTCTACCTGGTTGGATTGGTTCTATAGAACCAGTTGTTATAATTCTGCTCAGTTTGGAGAACCGGAAAATCGCTCTCCTGGCTGGCCCTTCTCCTCCCCCTTACTCCTTACCTGACATGCATGACATCCAACTTGCTTGCATTTGGTAAGTTGCTATTTTTCCTTCCCCCAAACCCCCGACCATCAGCTGTTCTGCTGTGCCAGGAGGTTTAGATTAGCTAGAAAGCACGAAATCCTTGGATTTTTTTTGCTTTCTAGCTAATCTAAAGGCAGAGCTGAACCATCCTTAGGACCGAAGCTTCTGTTTTTCAGTGCAGACTCAGGTAGCCGATGGCAGATAGATAGATTTCTGAATGAATCTGTGATTCTGTGAGCAGCTCAATCTGCCAGCCTGCTTTGCCTGATTTTGGGGTAAAAGTTGCTCTTTTTTTAAAATATAAAAAAATTCAAGATTTACATAACATGGTGTGTTGTGAGTTAATTTTGTGAGTTTGCTTGCTAGCAAATTTTATGAGTTTGTTTGCAAGCAAATTTTATGTGACAGGCTCAAGTAGCAGACTGCGGAATGATAGATCTCTGAATGAATCTGTGATTCTGCGTGCAACTCAATCTGCCTGCCTGCTTTGCCTGATTTTGGGGAAAAGTTGCTTTTTTTAAATAAAAAAAAATCAAGATTTACATACATGGTGTGTTGTGAGTTAATTTTATGAGTTTGCTTGCAAGCAAATTTTATGAGTTTGCTTGCAAGCAAATTTTATGTGACAGGCTCAAGTAGCAGATGGCGGAAAGATAGATCTCTGAATGAATCTGTGATTCTGCATGCAACTCAAACTGCCTGCCTGCTTTGGCTGCTTTTGGGGAAAAGTTGCTTTTTTTAAATTAAAAAAAACCCAAGATTTACATACATGGTGTGTTGTGAGTTAATTTGGTGAGTTTGCTTGCTAGCAAATTTTATGAGTTTGTTTGCAAATTTTATGAGTTTGCTTGCAAGCAAATTTTATGTGACAGACTCAAGTAGCAGATTGCGGAAAGATAGACCTCTGAATGAATCTGTGATTCTGCATGCAACTCAATCTGCCTGCCTGCTTTGGCTGATTTTGGGGAAAAGTTGCTTTTTCTAAATAAAAAAAAATCCAATATTACATAAATATTTATAATATTTACATACAAGCCACGCCCAGCCAGTCACATGACTATCAAGCCACACCCCAAAATTAGGCCACACCCACCCCTGGATTGCCCCCTCCCCAAGTTCCTCAAGGATTTTATAAAAGGTGAGTTTACTGACATGCTTCTCCAAAGCCCGGAGGTTTTGCTCATCGGAGTCGGAAAGTTGCCCGCAGTAAACCTGGGGAAATTAAAGTAAAGAAATCAAAAGAGGAACGGATATACTTTTAAAAAAAATAAATTTCTTATTTTATATTTACAATAAATCCATCTTTCATTCAAACAGTGTGATGACTGGGTACATATACCCTGTGCTAAAAGTTATAATTAATATTTTTCTTGCCGTTACATCAACAATTACATTTTCTTTATAAGCCATTATTATTTTTATAACAATCTTAACTTAGTTCTCTACGTGTTCATCTACTCAATTTTAACTTGCTTAATTTTCCAACCATTGGTAAAATAAATCCCGTACGTAATATTCAGTTTCTTCTTTTTCTTTGATCACCAGTGTTAATCTATTCATCTCTGCACATTCTAATATTTTCTCAATTGCCTTTCCCTCTATCAGAATTTTATCACTTTTCCAGTTCTGAGCAAATAAAATTATGGCTGCGGTTAATACTTGAATAATTGAGTATGTTTTTCCTTTGCTATAACATTCAGGCACCATCCCTAATAGAAATATTTCAGGTTTCAAATCTGTATGTCGCTTTATCATTTTTTTCCAACCAGGTATGTATTTTTGTCCACTATCTTTTAGTTTCTACACATGTCCACCAGATATGGTAATATGATCCAGGTGTTCAGTGGCACTTCCAGCATTTAGTTAATTTGTCTTTAAAAATCTTTGCCAATTTTGCTGGCGCAAAGTGCCACCCATAAAACAGAATAGAATTGAATTCTTTTATTGGCCAAGTGGGATTGGACACACAAGGAATTTGTCTTGGTGCAAATGCTCTCAGTGTCCATAAAAGAAAAGAGACATTCATCATCAAAACACCTTACATAAATTTTCTTTATATCCTGTCAATATTGTTAATTTATAATTTCTTTCCCACAGTTTCTGCCATGTATCTAGTTCTATAGTATACCCCAAATTTTTCGCCTATGCCATCATTGCTTTCTTTACTTGTTTTTCTCCTAGTTTGACACCCAGTAGATAACAATACACTTTCTTAATCAACTTGCCTTCCGAGGAACGGACGTACTGAGAGCATGTGCAGGGGGCCAGGCTGAAATTAACAAAATGACATTGCAAAGGGGCGGGAAATGGGAGCCAAAAGGACCCAAAGTACTACAAAGCCCATTACATTGTAATCGGAGCGTTGTCCTAGATACAAGAGTGGTTCTCTCAACGTTGGCCACTTTAAGATGGCTGGACTTTAACTTTGCTTCAATGGTTTTGATTATTAAAAATATGCATGCCTATCTATAAGCAGCTAGTCCTCAGCCTATGATCACAATTGAGCCCAAAATGTATTGGTAAACCTTTAGTAAAGCTTCCACCAAGATGCACACATTCAACTTCTTGCTCTAGTTTCTCACTCTTTGTATGGGATATACAGTACATCTATATTTCTTTTCCCTGTTAGACACCTTGGTCTCCGAGAGATTAGTTTTCACATTGCCTGTTTCATCGTACCATCTGTTTATATTCGCTACAAGTCATCTGAGTTTTCAGGGACTTTTATATCCCCAGCGTAGAAAAATACGTTAACAGTCACATGCCTAACAAACATATCTCTGACATCATCATAAATATTTTCTTACGAACCTATTAAGCACCCAAGAGCACATCAGATAACAGGTAATCAGAGTTGGAAGGGACCTTATAGGTCATCTAGTCCAACCCCCCACCCAAGCGGGAGACCCTACACCATTTCTGACAGATGGCAGTCCAGTCTCTTCTTGAAAGCCTCCAGTGGTTGTGTTTAGATTAACTGAGATGGAAGGGACCTTATAGGTCATCTAGTCCAACCCCCCTCCACCCAAGCAGGAGACCCTCCACCATTCCTGACAGAGGGTCTCTTCTTGAAAGCCTCCAGGGATGAAGCTCCCACAACTTCCGAGGGCAACTTCTGTTCCATGGGTTGATTGTTCTCCCTGTCAGAAAGTTTCTTCTTATTTCCAGGTTAAATCTCTCCTTGTTCCATCCATTATTCCTTGTCTGGGCTTTGTTTGCCTTGGAAAACAGCTTGATCCCGCCTTCCTCTCTGTGGCAGCCCCTCAACTACTGGAAGATGCTCTCCTGTCTCCCCTGGTCCTTTTGTTCATTAAAATCAGATTAAAGTCGGATTAACAGAGTTGGAAGGGACCTTGTAGATCATCTAGTCCAACCCCCCCCTCCCTCAGATATTGGAAGATGCTCTCCTGTCTCCCCTGGTCCTTCTCTTTTTCGCTTTTTATATATATATATATAGACAAATGCTAGTGGAATTGAACCAACTGGGATCCAGGGCTAAGACTGCTAACCCTGATTGGGAAACAAGGCCTGCATTTCAGGCCAACTGAGACCGTCAAGACATCATCTAGGGCAGCCTCACGGAGAGTCACATTGCAGTAGCCTAGAGCCAAAGAGAGGAAAATTTCCACGGTCAGGTGATGTGTGATATTTACTTTGATTTATTTCGTTTCTATATCAGGCTTCTTAACTCACCCCTTTCGCTCAAGAGGGTGATATCTCTTTTACCCCATTTGTTTTCCGGTGGACTCCCATGGCTGGGATTAGAATGTGGGTAGAGAAGAAGGGATCGAACCAACGATAATAAGATATTCCAACCTCCCCCCTGTCCTAAAAATCAAACCAAAAACAGCCTTTGTCCAAAAGCAAACGAACCAGCCAGGGCAAAAAGATTTAAGGAGCAGAAACTGAAAGATCACCAGAACCCCTGAGGTGGATGATATCCTGACTGCGATGCATCGATCGATAAGCATCAATAATTCAGAGAGAAGCGATAATTCCATCCAAGCTCTTAAGAAACTTGGTTAAAAATGGGATCTCGGCTGTCTCCGTCCAGCCTTTTCTTCCCCGGAAGAAAAAAACCAAGAAAAACAGGATAATCGGGCGCGGAAAGAAATCAAGAATTTATTCTGTGTTTTGTACGCCAAAGGTTTTTTTTTTTTTTTGCCTCCTTCCTGATGTCCTCTGGAGCTCTCTTTGGATGTCGTCCGTGCCTTCACACAGGGCGTTCTCAATTTACGTCCCTCCTGGAGGCTGTTCATCCTGGTCTTAAGTTGGAATGGTTGTAAAACTGACCTGATATTTTTTTTCCCCACCTTTTTTTTTCGGTGAAAGGGCCAAGGTTGTGACACGAACGCAGGTGCGCGGTTTTGCAGAAAAAACGGACGTTATCAGTATTTTCCCTGTGATTTGGGAGGTCTTTTAGTCGAGCCTCCTACCCAAGGAGGAGACCCTATACCATTTCAGACGAGTTGATGTCCAGTCTCCTCTTAAAATCCTCCAGGGATTTCTGGTGGCAAGTCGTTCCACTGGTTAATTGTCCTTAACTCCTTAATTTCTGAATGTTTCTCCTGAATTCCAGGTTGCTTCTCTCATTGACTGGTTTCTTTTCTTGCTATCTGGTGCTTTGGAAAATAAACGGACTCCTTCATCGTCCTTGGGGCAGCCCCTCAAATACTGGAAGGCTGCTATCCTGTCGCCCCTAATTCTTCTTTTCTCTAGACTAAAGGAACAGGTAAAGGTTCCCCTCGCACAGGTATGCTAGTCGTTTCTGGCTCTAGGGGGCGCTGCTCATCTCCATTACAGAGCCAAAGAAGAGCCAGCGCCGTCCGAAGACGTCTCCGTGTTGTCAATAAGGAATATTATTGATTTCACTTTTCTTTTTTCTTCTGGTATTTGACATTATATTTATAAAATGTTTTTTCTTTTTTTTCTTTTTTTAGGATAGAATTGGTATGATTATATGATTTGTTATAGAATAAATTACTTTAATCATAGTTATCTCATAAGGCATGATTGAATAAAAGTATAGTCAAATCTTTTTTTTTATAATGATATGAGGATATATAAGTTTGGATTGATAATAAGAGTTATTATGTAAGGTAATTGTAATTATGACTACGAAATGAATGCACAAAACTGATGAACCAACCGACACACTGTTTGTACATAAGTACGGATGAGAGCTGATGTTTTTATGTTTTGTCTGTTTGTTTGTTTGTTAAAAAAACAATAAAATTGTTTTCAAAGACGTCTCCGTGGTCACGTGGCCGGCAGGACTAAAGGCCGTCGAAGGCCCATGGAACGCTATTCCCTTCCCACCAAAGGGGTCCCTATTTTTCTACTTGCATTTTTGACCTGCTTTCGAACTGCTAAGATGGCAGGAACTGGGACAAGGAATGGGAGCTTACTCCATTATGCGGCGCTAGGGATTCGAACCACCAAACTGCTGACCTTTTCCGATCGACAAGCTCAGCGTCTTAGCCACCGAGCCACCGCATTCTCGAGACTGGCCAAACCCAAATCCTGCGGCTGTTCTTCCTATGTGTGATGACCCAAAGGGGCGTGACACAAAAATAACAAAGTCACCAAAGTAAAATAAATTCCCTTTCATGCCTCCAACTTGGCCCCCAATGTCCAATTATCCTCGGTTAGAGATCAAACGCTTCAAAAAAAGCAGTCTACGAAGGGCAGAAATGCAGTCTGAACCCAAAGTAAAGATAATTAGAAACAAAAAAAGCAACAACACAAACCACAGCACGCACAACAAAGATAATGCATGCTTTGCTTCCAGCAAGGAGCCGTGTGCAGATGCCCCACTTATATCCTGTTCTCCCAGCTGCAACTAATGAAAGGGATCAGGGCCCTTTCCTCCCCCGTAAGCCACGTTGCTCCCTTCTCCGTTCCTCCCTGTGTGCCCTAGGATGCAGAATGGGTGGGCCTGGGTCTGCCTCTGAATGCCCAGCCGGACTGTGCTTGTCCCCCGTTTCTTCCCCAGCCACCGGAGCCCCTCTTTTTTTGTAAGTTGTGGTGAGCAAAACTGGACGCAGAATATTCCAGGTGTGGCCTTACTAAGGTTTTATAAAGCGGCACTAATTTCCATTACGTGATTGCAGGGAGCAATCGTTGCAACGTTGAATCCAGAGTCGTAAGTGCTCTCCCCAGATACAAGTCTGTTGTAACTGAGTGAGAAGTTGTAAATCGAGGACTACCTGCCTTGGGCCTATAACCGACACTCTAGATGCACCACTATTGCTAGAGGGACAGGTAAAGTCCGGGCTGAGAAGCTACGTTGACTTTACAACCTGTGGAATTCAACTCCCAGAAAATCCCAGAATTCCGGGAGTTGAAATCCACAGGTTGTAAAGTCCCCATAGTTGCTCACCTCCGGGCAACAGCTGGGCAGAACCTCATGCAATCTGTTGAAGTTTCTCCTCAGGGGAGGAGGGGGAAGGTCAAAGAAGTCAAGATGGCAGCCAGAACGCTTTTTTTAAAAAAATAAAAGGATCTGGGTTTGGACGGCCAGGTGGCTGCGAGAAGCCATCTTGACTTATTTGCCCTCCGCTCCCTAAGGACACCTTTATGACGTTCCCCTCCCCACCCACCCCAGATACTCACCAGGATAACACACACCACAGTGCCCGAGCTCTTGTCCACTAAAGGATTGATTAAGACTGCAAACAACAGAGAAAAAAGCGAGACAAAAATTAAATTAAATTGTAACCAAAAGAGAGAAACTGACACTATTCAGCCCTGGGCAACTGTCAATGACCATGATTGGAGATCAGAAGTTCCGTGGTTAGAATAGAATAACAGAGTTGGAAGGGACCTTAGAGGTCTTCTAGTCCAACCCCCTGCTTAGGCAGGAAACTCTACACCACTTCAGACAAAGGGCTATCCAACATCTTCTGAAAAACTTCCAGTGTTGGAGCATTCCCAAGTTCTGGAGACAAGTTATTTCACTGGTTAATTGTCCTCCCTGTCGGGAAATTCCTCCTTAATTCCAAGTTGCTTCTACTCCTTGGTTAGTTTCCATCCGTTGCTTCTTCTCCTGCCTCTTCAGGGGCTTTGGAGAAGAGCTTGACCACCTCTTCTTTGGGGCAGCCCCTCGGATATGGGAATATTGCTATTATGTCCGTTATCTGTTATCTCTGTTCTTACATCCTCTAACCCCCACTCCTTGAACCTCAAACTAGCCACCATTGACCTCACCCCATTCCTAAGAGGTCTGTGAGGGGCCGTGCATAAGCGCACCAATCGTGCCTACCGCTCCTATCGTCCCCACTGATCCGTAGGTATTTCCTGTATTATCACTCATGTTTATACCTATACCTATTATCTTGTAAGTGATTGACAAATCAAATAAATGAATAGAATAAAAAATAAAAGAAGGAAGGAAGGGGAAGGAGAACAGGGAAGGAAGGAAGGAAGGAAGGGAGGGAGGAAGGAAGGAAGGAAGGAAGGAAGGAAGGAAGGAAGGAAGGAAGGAAGGAAGGAGAGAAAAGGGAGGGAGGGAGAGGGAGGAAGGAAGGAAAGAAGGAAGGAAGGGGAAATGAAGGAGAACAGGGAAGGAGAAAGAAGAAAGGAGAGAAAAGAATAGAGGGAGGAGAGAAAAGAAGGGAGGGAGCCGGAGGAAAGAAGGAAAGGAAGGAAAGGAAGGAAAGGAAGGGAGAGAATACCCATTCCTAAGAGGTCTGTAAGGGGTGTGCATAAGTGCGCTATTGTGCCTCCTGTCCCTGTCCTATTGTCCCCATTTATTCGTACCTATTTCCTGTATTCCTACCCATGTTTATACTCATACCTATTGTAAGCGATTGACAAATCAAATAAATCAAATCAAATCAATAACTAAAATGTCTCCCCGGTCCTTCTTTTCATTAGACTAGAGACGTACCCTGCAATCGTTCTTCATGAAGTTTTATCCTCCAGTCCCTTCATCCCCCTGGTTGCTCTTCTCGGCACTCTTTCCAGAGTCTCAACCTCTTTTTTTTTTTTTGCATCATGGCGATCAAAACCGGATGCAAATATTGTGGCCTTACCAAGGCCTTGTAAAGTGGCATTAACCCTTCACGTGATCTTGATCCTATCCCTCTGCGGCCTAGGATTGCATCGGCCCTTTGGGCAGCTGCTGCTGCTACACACGGCTGGCTCCTATTGAAGTGGTCCTCCACTAAGACTCCGAGGTCCCTCCCACAGTTACTACCACTGAGTTGAGGTACCACAGGATGTAAGTTTTTAGGTATCACCCTGAAACAAGATCTAACGTGGGGGGGCAAATACTTTAGCCCTAGAAAAAAAGGCTCATCAACGACTGTATTTTTTTTAAAAGACTTTTAAGATCACAACAACTGCCAAAGAGCCTTTTATCGAAGCTCTATAAGAGAGCATTTTATCTTATTGCCTCTCTGTGTGGTTTAGGAGTTGTACAGAGGCGGAGAAAAGGGAACTCCAAAGAGTGATAAAAAGGGCTCAAAAGATCAGCGGATGCTCTCTTCCCTCGTTGGAGGAGTTGTATAACATGGGATGGAGAAGGAAGATAGAAAAGATCTTGAGAGACCCTTCGCATCCAGGCCACTCGTCGTTGGAGATCCTACCATCAGGAAGACGATATATAGAGTGCTGAAAGCCAGGACAAGTAGATTTAAACGTAGCTTTTACCCAAGCGCTGTGATCAGGTTAAATGCAGAGTTATGAATCTGGTGGTCTTAACATATATATATATCCCGATTGTACAGTTTTTTAACTGTTCTTTGTTTTAATTTGTTTTACATGGTTATTTGTATATGTCTTTTGGTGTTGTTCAGTTGTATGTTGTGAAAGAGCACCTTATTTCGTTGTTCTCAGGTTTCTGAGTACAGCGACAATAAATTTATCTTATCTTATCATATCACATATACTGGAGCTTTGCATTTGGGTTTTAAACGAAGCAACTGTTAAGGCTGACGTGCCCATTTTTTTACGAACTCTTTCACTGTTAGGTGCGTTTGTCGACTTCTTACCTTGCTTGCCGGGGGCTACGGGGGCCGCCAAGCCGGCCACCGGGTTGCCCTGCAGCTCGGCCAATGGCAGCCCGTTGCAGGCCACCCTCTTCTGCTGAAGGACGGCATCTCTGGAAGGAGGAAAAGAGGAGGAATGAATTAAAAAAAACCAGAAGCAAAAAGGAGCAAATTCGGAATGTCAAAATCCCAGTTCAACCCCTTTGGTGCCCAGCTGGGAAGAACAAGAGCCGGGGTGCACGGCCCTTAAAGGGGAAAACTGTCCACGAAGAAATCTTGGTTTGGTACTGGGATAGGAGACCACCAGGAGATCCCACAACAGAAGGGGGAGCCGGAAAAAAACATCCCGAAGGAAAGCGGGTTGAGGGCATTTGTTGGGTTTTCTACAAGCCAAGCACCAACCAAGGTTTCGTTGGCCTTCACACAAGTCACAGCCCAAAGTAGGAATGGCAGGGAGTCACGGCAGGGAGTCACAGCGACAATCTGGTCTAGTGGTCAAAGGCGACAGGCTAGAAACAAGTGGTTTCTAAGTGCTGACTTAGGTAAGAAAGTCTTTGGGCCAATCACCAGGAGACGGGGAGTTCTAGTCCCGCCTTAGGCATGAAAGCCAACTGGGTGACTTTGGGCCAATCACCAGGAGACGGGGAGTTCTAGTCCCGCCTTAGGCCTGAAAGCCAACTGGGTGACTTTGGGCCAATCACCAAGAGACGGGGAGTTCTAGTCCCGCCTTAGGCATGAAGTCCGGCTGGTCTCTCCCACTTAGTCCAAACTACCCACCAAGGCCCACCAAGTATGGTATAAAGGTCAAGATATGCCATGGAAGAAACACAGGCGAGGTTTCCATCCAAACTCATGTCTGCCATTTTGACTTTTTGGACCTCTCCCGAGCTGGAGAGGGAGACCCGCTTCTCTCCTCCCTTTTCTCCCTTGCTCTCCAAGGGAGCTGGCCATTTCTTCGCTTTTGAGCCAGCGTCCCTCCCTTCGCCCTCACCTGTGCCACCTGCCCCTAGATTCACCTGAAGCAGGTAAACATTTAACCCCTTGATCTGAACTGGAACTGGACTCCTTGAAATCACGAAACCCGACTAGTCAAGCAAAGGATTATTGACTTCTCTTCCTTCTCTCTCATTTGGGAGATTCGGTTTGTCCCCAAAGAATTACCTAGCTGTTCTTGAGAGCTTATTGTGTGTGTGTGTGTTGTTGTGTGTGTGTGTGTTGTTGTGTGTGTGTGTGTTTGGGGGTTGCTTTCATCCTGATAGATGAAAAATACCATCTCTGGCAGGGTTTTTTTTTTCCTGCCTTTGGCCCCACACTAGAACGGAGAACCATTTCTCGTTCATTCTTATTCTGCTTGGCTGCCTTCACAGATGTGGGGAGATAAATTTGGCTCTGATAACTGAATGAAAAATCACCAAAGCTGGACAGGTTCACGATGCGGGGAGAGAGAGGGAGAGAAGTGAGAGAGAGAGGTGAGAAGAAAGGAGAGGGAGAGCGAGAAAAGAGAGAGAGGAGAGACAGAAAGGAGAGAGAGTCAATCAACCAACCAGTCAGAATAGAGTTGGAAGGGACCTTGTAGGTCATTTAGTCCAACCCCCTGCCCAAGCAGGAGGCCTTACATCATTTCTGATGAATGGCCGTCCAGTCTCTTCTTGAAAGGGGACAGAGAGAGAGAGAGAGAGAGAGAGAGAGGAGACAGAAAGGAGAGAGAGAGGAGAGAGAAAAAAGGACAGAGAGGAGAGAGAGAGAGGAAAGAGAGAAAAAAGGACAGAGAGGAGAGAGAAAGGACCGGGTATAAAGTCTGTCCAGATCTTTCTGGATCCCGAGCTTGTCTTCTGGGGTGTTGGCTATTCCTGCCAGCTTTGTGTCATCTGCAAATTTGAAAAATCTAAGTTTCAAGACCACAAGTTTCCTTCTTCCGGCTAGATCTGAAAAAGTCCTTGTGTCAGAAGAGACAAAGCTAAGTGAGATTTTGGGCAGTTTCTCCTCTTCAAACCCCACCCTCCTCTCTTCTCACCTATGGCGAGGACTATAATCCACTCCTGATTTTCCCTCCTCCTGGATGAACAGGTTGTTTAAAAAAAAAAAACACCGTTTTTAAGATTTAGTGTCCATTTGGCATTTTAGAGGTTTTTATAATGGAGCGTAAAACTACTAATAAAGCCCAGGCCATTTGCATTTTTTGGGGAGAAGACTTTTATAGATGGAAATTCAGAATGGCAAAGGCCTTGGAGATCTTCCAACCGAACCTTCTGCCTGGGCAGGAATCTACCACTTTAGTAGCTCCAAAATACTGTTTAAACCCTCCATCAAAGGGGCAGCGATATCAGAGAATATATCACGTAGTTCAGCGTTGAAGAGACTCCTCCATCTCACAAAGGACACACAGATTCAACCACTTTCAACTGGAAGCCACGAGCCTCCTAGATTAAGCCCAACCCAACAATGCTAGGGAATTCCTTGGCACTCAGATCAACTCAACCATCAACGGATACACAGAGAGAAATCACATCTACACAGCATTTGAAAGAGACCGCAAAAGAGCTAAGGAGGAAATCAAAAGATCAGAACGCAATTCTCTCCTGCAGGCCACACCCAGATAAGCAGGGATTAAGTCCGAGCAAACGGTTGAGCAGAAAATAATACTCCAAATCGAAACGCTATCGAAGGAAACCCCGCAAGGTCCCTTCCAACGCTGTGAATCGGTTAAGGCAGTGGCCCCCCCAACCTTTTTTGTGCCATGGCCCGGTACCGGCATCACAAAATGATCCGCGGCCCGCTACCGGCATCAGCACGCATGACAAGGCAAGGCGAGCCGAGCGACCGGCCAGCCAGCCAGCCGTCCCCCGCTTCTCCCCGCCACCTTCAACTCCTCCTTGGTACCTTTGTCAATGGGCTTCGCTTTGGGACGGCTTCGGGACGGTCGCTCGGCTCGCCTTGCCTTGGGTGCTGAAAGAATCCTCGCGCCTTAGTTTCGTTCGAAGCTGCCCCCCCCTTCAATGAAACTAAGGCGCGAGGAGGATTCCTTCAGGACCCAAACGCCGCCTTCCAACCGGAAAAGCTCACCCGGAAGCACTTTCTCGTCAAACAAGATGGCGGCACCCAGCAAACCGGCGGCCCGGTAGGAAACGTTCCACGGACCGGTACCGGTCCACGGCCCGGTGGTTGGGGACCCCTGGGTTAAGGGACCAAGGTCGGACACCTTTACTTTAAAAGGCTTTAGGTGAGGCGAGATGCTTCCTGAGAGAGACCCATCCATCTTACGCCTTCTCCGTTTGCATCTTCCCAAGTCTGGTGCGCAGCGTGGAAGGAAAAGGAAGGAACACGCTATATTTTGGGTCATCTCTGACCAAATCTTGAACCATTCGTCAAGGGGCCGAAGAAAAAAACGAAGGAAAAGAGATGGGATTATTCTTTAGCTCCAGAGGTCGTTAGACGCCCTCCTCACATTCCCGGGCATGATGGATGTCGGTGTCCCAAATATCAATTCATTCGTCAGCCTCTGAACGGAAAGGCCGTTAAGGTTTCTAGCCCCCTCCAAAGATGACACCTGAGTCCCTGGATTAATTTGCAAGTTGCAAAGATATGTCTTCCCAGCTGCCTAGTGTCCTTCTAGCGAGTCCTTGCTTCATCAAACTGTCCAGGGGAAAAAAAGAAATATTCAGGCATCAGCCAGGGGTGGGCTCCCAAAAAGTTAGCAACTGGTTCTCTACCTGGTTGCTAGGTGGATGTGGCCTTGGTGGGTGTGGCTTAGTTGGCCCCCCTGCACCACGGCTGGGGGAGGGGGCATATTCGCCCTCCCTGGGCTCTGGAGGCAATTTATCTGATAGTTACCCTTATTATTTGATTTTAAGAGTCTAAGAAGAGTAGAGCATTGGAGAGCAGGAAGAGTCCTGGACAGAGAAGGAGGACGAGGTGTAGGTTCCCCTGCTTGACCAGGGGGCTGGACTAGAAGACCTCTAGGGTCACTTCCAGCTCTATTCTATTCAATTCTAAGCAGCAGGCATGGAAAGGCAGGGCCCTCTGAACAGCATGATGGGTTAGCCAGCAAAGCAGAGTCCTGGGGCCCCTACAACAACTACTCACAGGAAAAGAAATGTAAATAGTTGATCGCATTAAACCGATATTTATTTTATTTCTGACAATCGGCGGTCCAACGTCTTCTTGAAAGTCTCAAGGGCTTCACTACGGTCTCAGGAAGAAGAGTCAGCCTGCCATTTTCCCTTCTCCAAATCTGCTTGAGAGTCCAGCTCTCCCAAGTTCTGAGAAGGCCAAAGAAAAAGGAGAAAACCAAGTCCGGCTTCCGGCGCTGACAGAAGCCGCGGCTGCGACGGGAAGGAGGCCGCCCGAAAGATGGAGCCGTCGAATCAAGGACATTGCAGCCAGAGATCGAAAAGGTCTGCGTGAGTCAAGTTGGCGGAAGAGATCCCGATTCAGGCCGGCCTGAGCTTTGCTGTGCGTGGGCGCTATTGCCGGGGCCTAGGTGGGATTTAATTTTCCTGCCTTCCTACATCCGCGGGACACCCATCAGCAAACCCCCCCGCAAAAAAACGACCTCTGAATCTCTCTGGCTCCTCAGAACGAAGCCCCCACGGTCCCTGGTGACCTTGAAAAAACGGGGACGCGGAAAAGCAGCAACAAGTCCCCGAATCGCCAACTCTGAAATGCTTCGGCGGTGGAGGACACCGGGAGCGACGTTCTTCCACGCTTGCGGAGATGAGCCGGAAACCGGGAAGTTTCTCCTAAAAGGATTCCCCCCCCCTAAATTGTCCCTCGTGGATCCCAGTTGAGGGAGCCTATCAGAAACTCTTACAGTATTTCAACGGCTTTGGAATTCTGTTCATTCCCAGCCTGTAATGAGTCCCAAACAGTTCCTCGAGATAAGCACCCACCTCTCTCTCCTTTTGAAAGGCTGCCCTCGGGGGCGTCCAGGGGAGGATCAAAAAAATTAAGAGCTTAGACTCATTAGGGGGCCTCGGTGCTCTCTGAGCTGGGTGGTTTTCTTGCAGACGTTTCATGACCCAGCTAGGTAACGTCATCAGGGCTAGAAGGGAGTGGGGTTTATGGGGAGGAGGAGAGAGGGGGGGAGGGAGGGAGGGACAGAGAGAGAGGGAGAGAG